GTGTGTGTTTGTGTGTGTACGAAGGAATACATTCATCTCTATATGTAAACTTGCCCGCAGGTGTAATTATAAATATGACCATTATTTATATATATATATATATACGGGGTGTATAAATTGGTGTGTTGTTTTTTTTGCGTGTCAATATAGATAGGTACATTTGTATACGTATATTTGCACTTCCAAATCTCGCTCTTTTTTTATCCCTGGTTCAGAAATGCTCCATCCTGCACGTAGATATCAACGCTTTTCTGTTCACGTGCATTAGAAGAGAGATATATATATATATGTATGCATGCATGCATGTATGTATGTATGTATGTATTTGTATATGAATATTTTGTGCGTGTGTGTGTGTGCCCATGTATGTCCATTCAAATCGCGCCCATTGTTTTGCTTCAAAACAGAGATACTTCATTCTGCACGCGCTGATCAACGCAGGGGTAGTGGTGATAGTGTACAAGGACTTCATCGACGTCTTCCTAAACCCTATTGATGGCGACCAACGGGTAGAGCACTCGTGTCTGCCGCTGGTTTGGGCCATACACCTGTACCATGTGGTAAGTAAGCATCCATCCACCACATCTGGTACCCTGCATGTAGATGCATGCATGTTGTGTGAGGTGAGCATGTTATCTAACCACGTGCGTTAGTAGTTGGCGTGGTGAGTTTCACCTACACTGTACCTTGAAACTGGGTGTACACTATTTATCTGGAATACTCAGTTATGTTGTATCTGTCAAGTGTCTGAGGCTTGTACTGACGTCTAGGGTTTCCGGGTTTCCAGGTTCATCAATGTATGTCGTTGTACCAGAGGGACGAGTTTGAATTCTACACCCACACACGACCGTTGTCACCATCCACTGCCTTTCATTTCATGTTTGATCACAACACTCCTCCCCAGTGCACTACCTGCGTACGCGAATGATCTATTAATAGCCATATACCTACCACATACCTACCGTGTCTGGACTTTTCCGTGCACAGCTCTTCTTCAAAGGACTGACCATGGTTGACTGGATGCACCATCTCATCAACGTGCTTATCATGGGCGTCATTGCCGAGTGCTGGTTCTGGGGTAAGGGCGTCAACGCTACCTGCTTCATCATGAACGGTGTTCCCGGTAGGTCAATTGGCAAGCACGTATCGAATGCACACACATACACTTATCTACCTCGGACTGACACATCAGCTGCTTTCCTTTTGGTTTCGATGCTTTACGTCTCCTCGCATTCTCGCTCTATGAATGGCATGGTATCTGTTCTGTGTATAGGTATACTTGTCCATACTTGCGTGCTTGAAATCTGTTGTGTTTAGCATGTATTTCCCATTTATAGATATATATATATTGAGCTCTTGTAGGTCATCTTCAAATGTATATGATACATTCTGCATGACCAGTGCTGCCCCTCACACGGCTTTCTTTCCCCATCCACAGGTGGTCTTGACTACGTGTTCCTTACCCTTATGAAGCACGGCCTTATGTCATCCTCGACCGGTGAGTGATTGTTCTTAGGATGTGGTCCCAGGGACACCATTCCCCATGTATTCTCTGCTCATTAGTGTTTTTATAACCTCAGCAGACGTTAGGAGTAACATAGACTATTTTCACTGGTTTCAAGAAAACCAATGTACGACTGCTACAGTCCACCAATACATGCTTCACGTATATCCGCCTCTCAGTACACATCCTCATCCTTGTGTTGACTAGTAATGTACTACCGCTACAGTCCACCAATACATGCCTCACATACATTCGCACAGGACAGTGTACTTAACACTCCCATCTACGTGTGGCTGTTCTGTTAGTGTTATATTCCCTGCGCGTACTGGTGTGTTGTTTATGCTCACACTAGCAACGGTCACCGCCATTGTCGCGTTGGTGCAGGCTAGTCATTGGTAAAGGCAAATTAGTGGCCCAACTCTAGCCATTGAGTATTAGCAGTGTTCAATTAGTGGGCAAAGTGCGTTGTGATTCTGTAAATAGCTGTGGCTGCTGTTTGATGATGTGTAGTGGCACTCATTCTACTGCCTTTCACACATCTGTTGTATATATATATATATATATATATATGTGTGTGTGTGTGTGTACGTGTGTATGTGTGTGTGTACGTGTGTATGTGTTTGTGTACGTGTGTATGTGTGTATGTGTATGTATATATACCACAATTGAAAACGAAGACCGGTCCCCGCAACACTAGCAGCCCACATCACTGTATTGGCACCACATGATGTATACCACTGCCCTCTCCATGCTTCTTGCTTTCCTGCCTGTCTTGCTGATCTTTCCTATGGTTTCTGTTTCACAGAAAAAACGCTGAATAGCTATTTGAACATCATGGTGCGACTGCCAGGTATGTACATGCACAGTGCTTGTATGTGGGGGGCAGCTACTATGGCTTGGGGCCATGGGTGTTGACAAGGTGTATGTAGATGTTGATGTAGTTATAGGTAGATGTTGATGTAGTTATCGGTAGATGTTGATGTAGGTATATGTAGATGTTGGTGTAGTTATAGAAAGATGTTGATGTTGATGTGTTATAGATAGATTTTGATGTAGGTATAAGTAGATGTCGATGTAGGTATAGGTCCATTGGACACACGTATAGAGACTCACGCGGTCGTTGTGTTTTGCAGTGCATTGCGCAAGTTCTGATAGGGTGCCTCCGGCGGAAAGAGTCGCTCGTTTTTCAAATACCCTTGGGGTAAAGTCTAGTATATATATGTATATATATATATATATATATATATATATGTGTGTGTGTGTGTATATATATATATATATATATATATATATATGTGTGTGTGTATATATATATATATATATATATATGTGTGTGTT